GTTAATTATCTATATATCGTAATTACTCTTATCTTATATATAACGATTTATATAGAAGATATTTATCTTTTAACTTATCGTTACTTCGTATATTATATATATAGCGATTTCTATTTACTAAAGACCTTTATTAATAATATTATAAAATATTAAATAGCTAAAATTCGTCTAATATTTTAACTTCTTCTTCTTTATAGAAGATATTAGAATAATAAAAAGAGATATAAGATTAAAACTCGACTAGTATCTCTACTCTTTTATTCTTATTCTTACTTTTACTAATATTACGAGATTTTAAAATATTAAGATTATATTAATATTAATTAATCTCGCTATAGATAGTTAAATAGTTATTTAATATTAGACTTTAAGATTTACTTATTTTTAATATTATTAATATTAATATTTTATTTAATAACTAGAAATTAAGAATATAGAATAAGCTAAGTTATAATAATAATTATTATCTTTTAAAGATTTTTAAAATTATTTATATTATAATATAGTTAAAAGAAGAAGCTATTAAATATATAATACTTAGATAATAATAATATCTCTATTTCTTAATTAACGATCTTCTTAATTACTTATCTAGCTTCTATAAGATATTATTAGATATTATTTATTACGCGTATCTTTATACTTATTAAATAATTAAATAAAATAAAAAGTTATTCTCTAAGTTCTATATAAAGTTTATAAAATATATCGAATATATATATAAATATATATATATATCGACGAAATTATAAAAGAATATCTAATATTAGATATTAAAGATAAGTTAAGTTATCGTCTATAAAATACGCTTTAAATATATTCTAAACTATTATTATTAGAATTAAAGAAATATCTAATCGATATAAATTATTATTTTCGAGTCTTAAATAAAATAAAATAAAAAAGTAAAGATATTTATTAAATAATATATTAAAGCGAGAATTAAAGATATAAGTAGATTATATAATAAATATACTATTATTTCTTACTCTAATTTAGAGAAATATAGATAATAGATATAAATATATAAATATATTAGATCTATAAATAATATAGTTATAAGAACGCGTTAACTTTATAAATATAGTCGAAATTAGTATAGACTCGATAATATCTCGAATATAGTATTTTTAGATAAATTAAAATTATTCGATATCTTTAGAATAGCCTTATTTTTTTATTCGAAAATCGATTTCGTAGGTCTATCGTTTTATATTAGACTTATTAAGTAAGCTTCTCTTATTATTATATATCTAAAGGGCTTTCGAATTATAATACGTTATCTATAAATCTTACTATCGCCGTTAATAGTCTTAATCGATATCGACTAAATAATATTCTATAAAGAAACTTATATTAGAATTATTTAATAATTATTTAAAGTTTTAGCGCTTATAACTCGATTCGACTTAGAAATAACTAATTAATTAAATCTTATTATTTTATAAATTTTCTTATAATTATAAAAATAAGTATTAAATAGCTATTTAATATTAGACTACGTTTTTAATTACTATTTATTTAATTCTTTATAGATCTTTATTAAATCGAAGATCTTTAATACTTTAATAAAGTGCTATTAACGATACGCTAGCGAAATCTTCGAAATACGATATTACTATCGTCGTCGTCGTCGAAGAAAAATACTAAAATAGTCTAATATAGTATATTAAAAATTCTTATTTTTAATTAATTTTTAACGATTAATTAGATTATAATATACGCGTAATTCTTTTAAAAAACTATAATAAGAAAGTTAAAGAAGAGTTTAGAGAATCTTATTAATACGTAGATAAGATATATTCTATATCTTTTAATTCTCTAAAGAACTCTTAGTAAATCTTCTCTAGTTAAGGTCTATAGAGATTATAAATATTTAAAGAAATAGAATAAGTAATAGACGTATATCTTCGATCTATTAGCTATAAAGACTATAGCTCTTTAAGAGAGAAAAGTATTATTATAAAGATATTCTTAATATATTATTTAATTCTATAGCCTAGTATCTTAACGAAGATATCTTCTATTATATTATATCTTCTTTCTATATATATAATTTAATAGTCTTATTATTCTATTTATTTTACTTATATAATATATCTCTATACTAGTTTTAATATTTTTTAATACTCTAAATTTTTATCCTATTAAGAGTCTATTATAGATATTTTCTATATTATCTTTTCTATCTATTCGATAAACGTTAACGCCGAGATAATAAATTTAATTGAGATTCTTCTCTTATATTTAATAGCTTTCTTATATTAATTATTAAATAACTCTACTACTAATAATTTAATATATCTTAAATTACTACTCTATTTATTTTTAATAAGAATAAATTAGATTAAGCTTTAAAGTAGTAAAAAAAAGCTACGAAAATTAATAAGAGATAAATATTTTTTAAAAAATGTAATAATCTTCTCTAGCGTATTTTATTACTTTTTAAATATTAATTAATAATAATTAAGTATTAAATAGCTATTAGTTATCTTTTAAATAATCTATTTCTTATTTTATATATTATATTTAATCTTATATAAATTACTATTATCTAGAAAATACTTCGAGATAATATTAATTTATATATCTCTATTTAAAGTTCTCGCGATTTTTATTAATACTCTATAACTATATTAAAGCTAAAAATCTTTATCGCTATTATAATCTATATAAAAATCTTTTACTTTTCTATTATTTATAATTATTAGAAAACTAATAAAATTATATCTATAATTTTAATAATTATAGAGAAAATAACTTAAGATTATTATATTCTTCTTTAAAAGTATATATATATTATTTAAATCTTACGTAAGAGAATTATATAATTATTAAAATAGATTAATATAAGTAATTAATATAATATAATAATTTTCTTTTATCTACTAGCGAGATTTAAAAGAATTAATTTTTTTTAAAATCTCGAGGTTTTATATAATAATTAATAAATATATAATTAAAAAGATAGAGTATATATCTTATTTTATTATAGCTTTAGATAAATTAATTAAAAAGAAATATAAGCTCTTTATAATTAATAATAAGAATTATCTCTATAATTATATATAATATTTCTTAATATAGAGAAATATTAATTATAGTATTTAAATTAACTATAAATACTCTTTTAGAAAATATTATTCTCTTTATAGATAACTATTTTATTTACTCGAAGCTGGCTATAGCTCTAAGAGATAAAAGAATTATAGTATATAAAACTATAAAGCCTACTCGACGAGATCTCCTAAAATTATATATTAAAGATAAAATAGATATTTACTAAGAATATTCTTTACGAAGTTTTTATTATAATAGTTTAAAATAATATTCTTATAGTAGTCTAATAAGATAATAATCTTATTTTAGAATTTATTATTAAATATAATATTCGAGAGATTAATAACTATATCTTTAAAAAAAGAAAACGTCTTAATAAAACTAATATAAATACTTATATTACTTTATCTACTTTTAAGAAGAATAAAAAGAATATCTAAAAGAAGAAATTTAAGATTTTTAAGCTTTTCTACTATTATAATAAGTATATAAGAGAGATAAATCGATTTAATACTTTAATAACTATATATACTTTCTAGCGAATTTATAATTATAATTAAATATTCTTATTTTATTAATATTTAGATAAAAGTCTCGTAAATACTTTTAAGCTCTATAAATTAATAGAAGTTATTTAAGAGTATTAGAAATTTCTCGAAAATATAATAATAGAGTTATTAAAAGAAGAAGATATCTATTAAATAAGATTAAATTTTATCTCTATCTTTATACTATTAAAGATATTATAAAATAATTATAATTAATAAGACTTAAAGATTATTTAGACGTATTTTATATATTATAAAAATATTTATAATCGAGATTTTAGATAAGAGATTAATAGAAATAGAAATAATACTTTTAAGATATATAGAGAATATAAAGTATATTAAATCTTTTTATATTATAAAGAAAATTATATAAAACAATTTTATAAAAGAAAAGATATATTAAACTCTATATAATAGATCTAGATTATATTTATTAAATTATATAAATATAATAAGATAATAATCGAAATAATAGTACGAAGAAAATAATTTATTATCTCTCGACGTTTATCGAATACTTTCTATAATCTAGCTTAAAGTCTTTATTTAATAAAAGACTTTATAGACTTACTTTGATCGCTAACTCTAATTAATAATATATCGCGATCGTCGAAGATATCCTTAGAGCGCATTTTTACAGTTTTTAAAGTTTCTGGCTAAACTCGGGTATCTTTCGATGGTTAAGAAATAAAGCTATTATGTTGATTGACTTGGTCTAAAACTCGATATTGCCATCTTGGCGCCAGAGAAGAATACGGTGTTCTATAATAGCAGATATCAGCCCTGGATTTGTCGATATATCCATTACAATGCTTGCATATCTTGGGTATAAGGTTATTACAGCGTTATCTTCGTTCCGTAGAGCAGTGTAGCGATGTCGGCCCCACATGCCACCGTTGCGAAGCTGAGCAAATCCTCTATAACCCCGTACTCCCATTATAGCATACTAACTTGGCTCTACAGGATCAACTCAGCCACTTCTAATACTGTTCGCCGGATCCATGTTTAGTGGTGGAGGAGTCGCGACCGCGACTAAGGGGAGATTGGAGGGCTGTAAGGCGACAGTAAGGTGAAGGAAGAATCCTGCGATCGTTGCGCTACGTACATGCCAGTGATAGTTATAGCGATTACTGAAATCATGAATTGCAGAAGTCGAAAAATGTGCGTCGCCCGTTGTGGAACACCGTACTGCCCAATCATTCCGCAAATAGCGACGAATCTTGCTGAGATGGCCGCTTGCAGCATCCCACCGCCAGACATCAGAAAGGATAGCAAACATGTCGACCGCTCACTCAGATATATGTTCTTTAGGTGGCCCACGTCCTTTCTCCTCCCTTAAAATCATCATATCTAATTGGCGGTCTCGATTACCATCAACGAGCAAGAACGATGTCTCCCTCGCCACAGAATTCCAACAACGACGAAGAAGGTAGAAATGCGGCTTCAAAGACTCCGTATCTTTATCTTACTGACTCTTACGCGCCTCCAGAAACAAAGCTCCATCCAAGAGCATCGAGTGCCTCCACGCAAGGTCTCAAAAAGGATAAGAGGAAAGCAACTTCACGACAGAGGATCTTAGACGGGGCGACTATGCATACCCGCTCCATGAGCATCAAGGGTGACGATAATGGGGCGACTATGCGTACTCGCTCCAAGAGCATCAAGGGTAACGATATGGCGTCGGACCTGTGAAAGCTCTAGAGCCCTTCTAACATGAAAGCAGATAATCCAACATCTCGTGCCGATCACAACCGTTCAGTGTCACGAGGTCGTACCGCTACACGGAGACGCTCAGTCGGACTGAACTCTGCGTCTACTGCGCATGGCCCCGGCAAAGGCGAGATGTCAGACCCCTCCGTCGCTTCCATTCTACGACCGAGACCGTTACCGAAGCAAGCCGCCGAGCGAGATACTCTCCACATGCCTCCTTCGAGCGATCTTGGGAAGAAACGTGGCGGTGTTGGCTCCCCGAGCGGCCCAGGGATCTCTGGCAATATAAGTCTCACCTCAGCACTCCCGAGACGAGAGTTTTCCTGACCCAAGCCTACGTAGACTGGAGCCACAGGAATCGACTCGGACATCTCAGAGGATCGGGAGGACCGCCGACCTTCGGCAACGACTACAATAGCAAGACGACCGGCACGCAAGGCCTCTCGTGCTCGTCCCGCGGGGAAAATATGGTCCTGGGCCTGAATCACCTGCTCTAGCTCGATCTTCGGTCTGATTGCCGTTGCTGTAACTTTAGCCTACATGACAGGCTGCGAGTCGCCGTCGGTTGGGATCCAGAAGTCTTGGGACCTGGTTTTGCAGGCCGGGGCTGGAGTCACGTCGGCATATATCTGGGCACTATGCGCGACGCAGCAGCTCTACCAGCGCTTGCCTCCCGTTCGTGCCGCTCCACGCTACTCATCAGGAGAACGATTGAGCGTCGCACTTGGCCAGACATACACTGATCTGTCACAAGCCCTTGCCGCGAGCGACTCGCTCTACCAAGCACCTGCGCTGATCAGCCAAAGACGGAGTGAGGCACTGAGGTTTCGGCTTCCCGAAGGATCCCTCACTCGGAAACCTTTGCAGCTTTTCCTCCGGCAGACTGTACACATAGACGAGGACCTGCTCCGTCTGATACTCTATCTCGGCCAAATCTCGACTCTCACCCTTCGGCAGCAGCAGGAGACCACGGACACACTGCGCTTCATCCAACGTGTCGAGTACTTTGGGACATTTCAGATGCTCCGGGTTCGCGTTGTAGGCGTTTCAACCCAAGAGTCTCAGCTGAAGACCCGTTTGGAAGAGCACTTCCGTTACTTGAACGAATCGATTCGGGTGGCCCAAAAAGCGGCTCACCAGGTGTTGCAGCAGTACGTGACCCTCGCCTCTACGACCGAAGCGATCCGTCAAAGCTCCCTTGGGGATGAGCAACGCTTCCTATTCATCAAATCGGAGGCGGCATCGCAGTTGGGCTGGGTCAAGAAGACATCGGTCCAACTGTTCGGATTAGCGGAGCCGGAGGATCTGGTAGAGATCAGCCAGAACGTGGAGCTCGCCCGTGGCATCCATAACTGGACGCAGAATGTGGTGGACTCCCTGCAGCGCGTGACGTTACATCTCAGTTACGCAAAGGCCAATATAGGATTACTTGTGGAAGATCATCAGCCACAATAGCACGGTCACATGGGACGTAGCAGATAAAGATCGTAAGATCACGGAGTTCCTCGCTCAAGTTTCCGATGGTGTAGAGCTCTTGACGTACAACACGGCCGCGTACGATCAGCTACTGTGGGACGGGCATATCTAGGGAGATTCCGAGCGAGGTCACGTCCGGGAGCAAGGTCTGATGAGGACGCTTTCGCGTGTGAACGTCATGGAATTCTAGAATCTACCTCTCTTACTTAATCCCACTTGCTGTCACCAAGGCCCCGTGATCCCACTCCACGTAGGCGCTCATATCCACCGCGAGTACAGACACGCGAATCTAGTATATCCCAAACTTTCTATTCAAACGATACACGATCCTGGGTAGCACGAACACAACCAGGACGCATAGCAGCAGATATTGGACGCTTGAGAAATACCAAAGTACAGCAAACCCCAAGATCACAGTCCAAAGAAGATGCTCTTATAGTTGATGTGTCCATATGCCGACGTTTTGATAGTTGGTGAAGAGATAAAACCCGGTGTACTTCTCCAACCAGTCGACCAAATACCACACCGACAACAGGAACACGATCACGCGGATTGCCGGATACTGCTGCACCAGTGATCCGAACCATTTCAGATAATCCTTTGCGTGGGTGTCTCCCTCCTCTATATTGCTTTCGGGTCTAACTTCACGATACTATCCCGGCGTGGTAGTTGGAGTTGTTACGCTCTGGCTTTCGCTCCCGTTTCGCTCTCTAATGATACGAGATCCCGTTAGTAAAAGAACGCGACCTTTCATAGCCTTGTGCTTAGAGTGCCTTATATTGGTCCCGCCGAGCCGTAATCGCTCTGTGCCACATTGTCCGCCTGCGACTGCGCGGCTTTCTTTAGTCGCCCCGGATTTCGGCTTTTGGCTCGACCCCTTGGTGCCATCGTGCCTGATTGAGATCGATCGGAATCGTGCGAGGTAGATGTAACGGGTTGAAGATGAGCGAGATGTTGGTTGATATGGCCGTGGGGAAGTGAGTTTAGAGGTTGATGTGTGAGAGGTATTGCCTAACAGGACCCTAAGATCTCTTATATCATGATCAAAGCAGTTTGACTCCTTTTCGTGATCTTTTTTGTCGTATGATCAAAGAAGTCTGGCTTCTTTGAGTTACCTTGTTTGTGGGTTATGTCTAATTCTATATGAGACCATGTCTCGGGGCTTGCATAATCCCGATGGGCTCACTAACGCAGAAACACAGTAAAGCATTACCGAAGCTAGACATTGGATATTGATAGTATCTCTATCGGGCAAGCATGTTCTGACCTCTCACGCGGGAGACTACCCGCCGCGCTGCTTTTTATGTTCGCGGGCAAAAAGAAAGTAGCACGCCTTTGTTCACTAACAATAAATTAAGCAATCGCAATCCGTGTTGATCCGGGAGACTATGCTATATGGCTTTATGGCCACCTATAGAGCGCTTAGTCACAGTACGTGATGTCGCCTGATCTAAGCAAACCCGTCCACGCTAAACCCTCGCCAATGTATTAACTGGTGTCTTCATTTCCAGAGCGGCTGAGCTAGCTCCGAGGTCGCCTCTCCGGTGTTCCCGCGGGGCTTTTGTTCGTTGCCGGGTTGGGGGTTCCCTTGTCAAAGAGCCGCTTCAGATGGGCTCTCCGGAATGGTTCAATCAGGTAGGCGCGGATAAGCTCCCCGAGTTCGTTTATTTTCGACATTTCCGCCATTTCCCTCAGAGCCCGCTGACGTAGATTTTTGAAAGCTTCCACGTGGTATTCGCCTGTGTGTGTGAAGCGATTATTCAGGCTGGGTTCGGTCAGCAACGTACGGGGACGAGCCACTGCCGTCCGGACTCACAAATTGTCTGACAGGTATTCTTCCAGAATACACAGGCTTCCTATCCCAAACTCTGTGCAGAACACATTCAGCTTCTTGCCCTGTGTACTCCACGTGCCGAGTTGATCCAAAGGGAGAGGATTCCCCTCTGTATCATGGACGCGCTCCTTCACCAGCTCCTCAATTTCTTTCTTCATCCGGGGTCCGATCCGCCCGGTCCCTTCGGGATGCTTCAACTTGGCCAAGTCGAAATAAAGGAGCATATGCAAGAGCCATCGGGCCCGATCCTTCGTCTGACGTGACTGCACATTCAACGTATAACGCAGGACGGCCAAATGCAAGTTGGCTTCGTCGTAGTCGGGCTCTGCCACCTGATGAATCAGGCTGCCTCGGTCGTCCAGGAATTGTGCAGGATCCGTGCCGTGCTTTTCCACGGGTCTCCGGTAAGGCTCGGGCACTCCCAATGATTCGAGGTTGGTCAAGACTTCCAACTGATCCCGCGGACGGGCACGTTTCGGGGTCACACGTCGACGTTTAGGAATCGGCTCATCGGGATCGTTTGCTTCGTTCTCTTCGTCCCCGGAGCCGTCGACGAGGGTTTGGTTGCCGTGGTCGTAGACCATCATAGACCAGAGAGTGTTTTGGCGCTCTGTCAAGTTTTGTACTCTCAGCGTAGCACAGCAGTGGTGATGATAGAAAGCATATAGATTCAGTGGTGGGGGTATCGGCTATTATGTAGCTGATGGAGAATAAAGTACTACTATTTATAGCTAATTATATAAAAGAAATAATAATAGAATATATATAAAAGAATATAGAAGAGAGATATATATAGAAGGAATTAGATACGCTAACACTCTTTCTATCTAGTAATATTTAAATATCTCTATTTTAAGATTAAAATTATATACTATTCTAATTTATTAATTTAAATCTTTATTTACTAAACTTATTATATTAATAAAATTATTAAATTTTATAATAATTAATACTTTAATAAGATTATTAATCTTTATATCTTTTATAGATATACGAGTAAAGACCTATAAATTAAATTCATAATTTTTTTTTTAATTAGAGCTGTCGAGTAAATTTGATAAGCGAACTTTTAATAGACGACATTTAAATTCGTTACCTTTAAACCTTCATAGGACTAAATTTAGTAATTCTTTTTTTATCTAAAAGCCCATAGTTCGTTCTATAATCTTAAAAAAAATCTTAAAATTTTAATAGAAAATAAAAAGGTTATTCTAAAATCAAGTAATATGTACCTGTTTTTTGATCAGGGCTGTCCGGCTGTTCGCGATCTTTGATGAGCGAACTTTAATGAGCGATATTTGAATTCCTTGCGCTTTAATAATTATAAGACTAAATTTCAGAATTCTTAAAAATTCAGAAAGCACGTATAGCGCTTTAAAATTAAAAAAAAAATCTTAAAATTTTAATAGAAAATAAAAAAGTTATTCTATGTGTTAATAATGTATATCTATTTTTTTAATAAGAAAGGCGCGGGAGAGCGAGATTTTGATAGTTACGGACGCTAATTTATTTATCTACGATATCTAATTAAAAAGCGTAGATCTAATAAATTAATAATTAGCTATATATATAAATTTAAGATTTTCTAATTTAGCTCTATCTTATTCTTTTATATATATTAATATTTATATTTTAGCGTTTAATTAATTATTAATTCGCGTATAATTTTTTTTACTAGATTTATTACTCTCTTATTATTATATTATATTATAAATAGTTTATCTAGTTAATATTTTAACTTAAATAGCAAATATTATATTTATATTATATTTTAAATAATAGTAGAAGTAGTTATATATTTAATTTTATATATAAATTATATTATAATTTTCTACTTAATAAAACTCTAATTAATAAATCTATTATTTAATATTATAATTATTTTAATTATTAATTATATTATAAATATCTTATCGATTTAATTAACGTTTAAATAATTAAATAATTATAATTTTATAATTTTTATAATCTTAAAGATTATTTTATATATTCTAATTTTAGTTAAATATTATAATATTCTTTTATATACTTATTAATATTAATAGTTTAAATTAAAAGAGAATATAGTTAATTTATTAATAGTAAATATTATATTTAATTATATTTAAATAATTAAATAATTAATTTTTTTTAAATTACTTTTAAATATAGTAATATTCTTTAAATTAATTAGATATATATTAGATATAAAGATAAGATAGATAGTTATCTTTAATTTTATTAAGATAAGTAATATATAATACTTCTTTATATTATAGATTATAAAAATCTTATTAATAAATATAAATTAATTTATCTTAAATATTCTTATTAAGTAATTTTATTTAATCTTTATTTTTAAATAGTATATATATAAGTTAAAAGTTAAAATATTAAATTATTAATATAGAAGTTTCTTAGTTTAATTAATTAATAATTAATTATTAATAATTTTAATATTATTAATATAGATAATTAGAAAGATAATTTCTTTATTTAATTTATAGAGAAATAAATATAAATCGAATTATAAGTATATAATTTTAATTTTAAATAAAAATTCTATTAGAGTCTTATATTACTTACGATTAAATTATTTTAATTTATATAATAATTTAAATAATAAATAAACTTAAACTTAATTTAATTTAATAAAGTTTTATAATTATTTTATATAAATTTTATACTTAAGTTCTATATATAGAAATACTATTATAATATTAATTAAATTTATTTCTTAATTATAATATATAATTAAAGCTAAGAAGATCTTTTATATAATTAATTTAATAATATTAAAAAAGATTTTATTATAATCGATTTCTTTTTATTAAAGAAAGTCTTTAATAATATATCTAGTTTTATAGTATAAGATCTTATTATCTACGCTTAATTTCTTTTTATAGATTTTTTTTTAAAAATAATACGATATATTAATTTTAATACTAGCTTTTATATCTTTATTTTTTATAATAAGTTCTATTACTTTTATATAGCGATTATTTATTAAATTATTTTAAAGTTATTAACTATTTTCTTATAAGTATAAAGTTTAATATTAGTTATAAGTAATATAGTCTATATTAATTTAATAAATTCTTTCTTTAAAATATTAAAATAATTTTATTTATTATTTTATATAATATTATAATTTTTTAATACGTTTTTAATATATTATAAGTATTTTAATAAATTAGATATAAAAGAATTTTCTATATTCGAAATAATAATTTTCTAATTATTTAATTTAGATAAATTTAAAATATAGTTAATCTCGAGATTTTTTAGATTTATAGATAGATTTTAAATTATAACTCTAGAGTCTTCTCTAAGCGTATTTATTATTCTTTTATTATTTACGATTAATAAAGAAGAAGCTTTATTTTTTAAAGAGAGTAAAATTCTTTTAATAACGATAATAGTATTTATAATATTCTTATTCTTTAATATTTTATTTTATTTGTTCTTAGTATTACTAGAAGACGAGATAAAATTTTAAAGAGATTTTTATAAGATATTATATCGTCGTATTAGATAAGATTTATATTTATTCTATAATTAATATTAATTAAATCTCTTATAATTATATAAGATATATTTTATTACGAGCGTACTCTTAATATACTACTTAGTTCTATAGCTAGCGAGCCTTAACGAAGATATCTTCTATTATATTATATCTTCTTCTTATATATATAATTCGATAGTCTTATTATTCTATTCTATCTTATCTATATAATATACCTCTATACTAAATTTAATAAATCTTAAATCTTCTTAATTATATATAATTATTAATATTTTAATTAATCTATATTTTAAATAGAAGATTTAAAAATTTATTAATTAGTCTTATATTTCTTTAAGTAAGATATTAATTAATTTTTTTTTAAAATTATCTTTATTTATAAGAATAACTCTAAAAGTTAAATTAATATCGACTATATTTCTAATAAGAATAAGAGTATTTATTAAAATTAAAAGAAATAATTTTTTTAATTTTAAAAATCGTTTTAATATAAATCTTAATAATTTTATATTTATCGAATTTTTTAAAGTTATAAAAAAATATTTAATAATATATTTAAGTATTATAAATTATATAAGTAATTAAATTAAAGAGTTAATTAAAATTTAAAAAATTTAAAAAATTTATAATATTTTAAAAATATCTATTAATAAGATTATATAGTTATTTTAATAATTATTAATAAATTAATTAGAAAGAAATTAGATTATAATTTTTTTTTATATAAATCTTTAATTAATATTAATATAGATATTATTTATACTATTTATTAACTTCTATTAAAAATTAAAAAGAAATTTTATTAATTTAAAATTAATTAATAGTTTCTAAATTAGAAGTTAATCTAATATATATTAAGCGATTAAAAAAAAATTTAATATAATAAGAGAAGAGTAAGAAGAATCAAATATTTAATCTACTTTTAAAAATTATAAATAAATTTATTAATTATTATTCGTTATTAATATTAAATAATTATTTTTAATTTTAAGATTTTTTATAATAATATTAAAGATTATTTTTATAAGTATTAGCTTTTCTCGATAGAATATTCTTTTTAATATTTTATATTTAAAAGATAGAAGTTATTAAAAATTATTAAGATTAAAAAATAAATTATTTAAATTTATATAATTAAAAGATCGAAGAAGATTTAATTAGATATATATTTAAAAGATTTATAAATCTAACGAATTTTTTAGTTATTAATCTTCTATCTTAATATTAATTAACTTTTTAAATTACTATCTTTTTATCCTATTAGAATATAAAATTAAAAAAATCTAGAAATTTATCTAAATCTTCTTCTAAAAATTTATTAAAATTTGAAATCTTAAAAATTTATTTAAGAATTTTATCGATAATCGAAGAAGTTTAATTATTTAATAATTAAGAATAAGTTAATCTATTTATAAATAAAAGTTATTTAATAAAATATAAAGCTTTATTAAAATTATAATCTCGATTTTAAACTTAAATTTATTTCTAAAGAAAATTATTATTTAATTTTCTTTAAATCGCTATTAAAATTAAAATAATGATTTATTTTAAGAATATAATTACTTATATAACTAAAATAATCATCTTTATTAAAAATATAAAATTTTTTAAAATAATTTTTAATTATATAAATATTTAAATTATTAAAAATTATTAATTTAATAAAAAACTCTAAAGCTTTATTTAAAAGATATTATAATATTTAATTCTTAAAAATACTTTATAATCTTTTTTATTTATCGCTTTTAATATATCGCGAAATTAAAAAATAATATTTTTATCTTTTTAATATTTTTAATATATTTAAAAAGAGATACTTTAAAATAATATAATAATTTTTTTATAAAAATTTATTAAAAGATAAATTATAGTTTAATAATATAAAAAGATAAGCTTTTTTAAAAATATTAATTAAATTTTTTTAAATTTTTAAAAAAGATAAAAAAAATAAAGTTTTAATTTAATAATTTTTTTATTATATTAAATTAATATTTAATAAAAAAAAATTATTTATATAATATTAAAGTTATTAATAAAAATATAATTATTAAATATCTCTAATAGAGATTAAATATAAAT